AGAAACTGATATAGAAGTTATCCACTCTCCAAAGATTATTGTTCAAGCAGAGGAAAATCTCATGGATTCATCAAAGTCTTGTTTAGTCTGCCTTACAATAGAGAAAAATCCACTATTTAAAGAGAGGCTAAGACTTAGAAAATAGACAAGCATTAAAAGACATGGGAACCACCCAAACATTTAAGGACTCGGGAACTAGAAAGCATTTAAATGCCTAGAAACTAAGGACTTTGACTCTCGAGACTTGCATAAACGATTAAGACTCATAAAGACCTAGGAACTCATAAATGAATTGATGACACTTAGGAACTATGAATAGCAATAAAGATATGGAGACTTGAAATCTTGACTCTTCAGCCTTGTGGTTCATCTCCAAAATTCGTGCTCCAACCTTGACCAGGAAATCATCAACTATCATACGAATTTACTTAGAACATCCTCCCAACAATAAGTTGTTGATTAAATTTGAAATCAACAATACTGATTCGACAAGTCAATAGTCAGTAACTTGATATCTGTAACTTGATATTGGTAAACTTGATAGTCTCCTCATCAGCAACTTGATTTTTGGACCCATCGAATCAAATTATAACCAAAGTTAGTTTTGGCTTGGATACTCATTGATTGTACTAGGCTTGTTGATGGAATAAAATCGGAACTTAGAGAATGTTCTATAGAATCGGATGCTCCCACATCACATTGCTCAAGCAAATATTTCTGAAAATAAAGTTCAGAAATGCAATTTTCACGAAATGTATTTGCACTAGTTATATAGTCCATAGAAAAGCAACCGACTTCAGTCATCGATTACGGAAACTCTGGGAAAGTGGTAGATGCAAGCCACTATTGCGACGCCAAGCGAATGACCATATCTCAGATCCGATATGACTAAAAGGTGGACATCTAACATGATCTAATGATTCCCTATCTAGACAAAAGCCTACTAAAGAAAAAATTGGAAGTATTCCGAAAGTGTTGTGGGTGAAAATTTGTTTATTTTCAAGCTCGATTCCAAATTCCACAGAACAGACATAAAGACCCTTCTGTCTTGCAGAATAAAGCTTCTAGTCATCACTTTTCATCAAACGGCGTCAAACTGCAGGTCGCTTTGTCCAAGGTGCAGCAGCAGTTGAGCAACCGTGACCTCCATAAGAGTGGCTCCTCCATGTCTAAACACATGAGAAGACAATTGCAATACACGACTAAACATTTGCCATCTTTGTAAGCTAAGAATGTACAGAAAAGCAGTTGGTTTAATAACACAACAAACATTGTGTACTGCGAAGTCTACTTAGCTAGACATTAATCGCTTTTTATATTGAAATGAAACCCACTGAAGTTGGGTATTGACAGCCTCAGGTTGTAACACTGGTTCATTTAGAGTATCTAATGACCTTCTATCATGTTGAAAGGACCAAAATCCAAGTTCGGTAAAGGCTATTTAAGGTCAGAAAGTATTCTTCTACAGTCATATCAGGATAAGGTAGCTCGACAAGGAACTGAATTACCCAACAGTATGAATCGCAGGAGGAGGATTCTTGGAAGAGCAAAGGAGTCCATGGGTGCAACTTAAATGGATACAAATTAAACAATTTATTTCTCATTGTATAGTTAGAAAGTATCTTGAAAAATTCAACCCCTGGGAACATTGGATGTGTGGAGCAAACTTACCTCTTGAATTTCTACTTCTCTTTTTTACTATGGGATAGGGTGAAAGGATGTTAGGTAAAGGTTGTCAAGCATATTAAGAGACATTGATACAACATAAATGTGACCATTATGAAATTATCATTCAGGCATTGCATTAGAAGATAAATGCACAAGTCCTAGAGCATTACAACATGATCAATATGAAACTCTCTTGTCATCCCGAGATTAAAATATCCATTCACAAAGAACGGTATTTTTTTTCTGAGACATCCTTTTTGTGAATTCACATAACATCTAGCTTTGTTTCTGAAACGCGACAAGTAGTTCTGTTGAATAGGCAATGATAAAGTACATAAACTAGTATCTTCAGGTGTTATGAGGTCACAACTCAAAAAAGAGGCCAACAAAAGGGTCAAACAAGATGAGAAGACATCTGATCTTTCTGACACTCGACGTGATAAGATGATCAACCCACAAATAATCAACCCACGACTGTGTAGAGAACATATTCTTTGCATCAACAGAATTGTCCGGGAACAATTTTTCTGAGCAGGCATTGTAGTTCATGCAAGAATAAAGTTTAACTTTCCATGTAACTACGGAAAATATGTTCATCACTTATAGTGGTCCTATGATTCACAGACAATAAACACGTGTAACAAAAAATGCCCAATGAAATGAAGTTCTAGTCATTGGAAGCTAATCTTTTATAAGACAAAATAGACATTTCTCTGGACAGTATCAACAAAAGCTATAATCTCAGTAACTCGCATGATCACCATTTACTTGTTTTCAAATGATATATACATACTTCACATAAATGAATGTGAAAATTGAGCAGCAGCTACATCTTCATTTTTATTTGTGAGGGAGGGGACTGTTGACACCTAAATTTTGACTAACCATTTAGTGATTAATTGCATAGAAAATTAGGGATTAAATTTTAACCCCTAAACAAAACTATCAAAATCTCATAGCATATAGTTTAGGATCATATAGGTTAGTTGCATTCCGCATCCGACCGGCGGTGGTGAGAAAGCTGAAAATTCATCGTGTAAACCGAGCTCGAGCACTCGGCTCATTCAGAGGATGGGGCAATGGGTCTCGGTTGTCTTATTTTGAGCTTAAATCAACCCATTAAGCTTAATTAAAGAAAAGCACAAATTAATTCAGTCAATTTAGAATTAAATAAAAATTAATGGATAAAGCCTAAGCCAAAGCCCATTAGGACTAGGAAGCCCGGCCAATTAACCTAGGGTTGCGATATAAATGTGTGATTATACCCCTCACTAAAAGGGGGCTCTCATAATTTTCAAGAGGACAATCTTTGAGAGCACGAGAGGCCACACAATTGAGAATATAGGGCCAGAAATCGTGAGTGAGAGCATAGAGAGAGGAGGTGCAGCACGTCCAAGAAGAGAAGAGAGAGGAGAGTGGGGGTCGCAGTTTTTTACAAAGATATAGCACTAGAGAGAAGAAATTCACGCCAGTTCTTCATCAGCACCTCATAACTTCATGCACGCGAAGTCTGGATTCAAGTGAAGCTTTGCTTCTGTGCTCTTGACACCTCACCTTGCTGCACCCTCCACAAGCTGCCACGCACGATCTGTTCAAATATCATTACGTCTCAATATCCCAGTGAGTACTCCCGGCGACAAGCAGCCGACTGAGAGCCCAAGCAACCGTGACAACGCCAAGACCAGCAACTTTCGCATGCGGTCCCAACAAACTCACCAGTCCCGACGAAATCCCCGATCGGTGTTGCGTTACTCCGTTTCTTCACCAAACTTGGACTCTGTTTCGCAGGTTTTACGAGAACTCCATCGCCGCCGCCTCTCACCGTCGCCGCCACGCCCGCCATCGATCACCCACCGTCGGCCGTTCTGATCCGCAAACCCGATCCGGCATCCAGCTCCAATTCGGAAGTTATCCGTAAATTAGGTAAGAAACTTTATCCGATATCGTTTCAAATATTTAAATTCCTAATTCGAGTGATTTTGTTGTCTTTGGTTGGTTAGTAGATATATTTGAATGATGCATGGCATATTCGCAAGATTCCAAAAAATACACTAAGTTAGGAAATTCCTAACTTAACAACGTGTCGGGACGACTATCCGATCTCAACCATGAGATACGATACTCGGTGGCACGGAAAATCTTTATCCTATCCATAACTATTTGGATACGATAATAGATTTTATTTTGTTCCCAAATTCAAACGAATTGCCTTCCATCAATATCCATAACCACATGGATATGATCGTCGGTTCATATCGTTTCCTTAATTCAAAGATAGTAAAACAAATCTTGTGGATTGCGTGGACTAGTTTTGATCGTGGTGATTGTCTATCTATTTGATTTATTTCCTTTAAAAAGAAAATTCCAAAAAAAAAGATTAGTTAGGATTTGAATGGATAATGATGCATGTTTAGGATAGGTTTAGAATAACTTTCTTTGAATAAGTCGATAGGATAACTTTTTAATTTAAATTAGGAATTAGAGTAATTTATTTCCTAGTTTAATTTAGATATTATCCTGATCTCGACGGTTCATTTTAGGGTAATTCTTGATTTCGAATTTTCATAAAAATACCAAAAAGAAGTCACTTTAGGATAGATTAAATTATTTTAGAATAGATTGCATGTTAATTTAGGCATTTTTTTTAATTCCGAATTTCATTCAAAAATAAATCATCTGTCCGTCATTAATTAGGTCGCGTCGTCGCATGATATATAGTTTGCATATTAGGCTGCATTAATCGCATGTTAATTTTTGCACGTCATTACATATAGGTTAGTTTTCATTTAAATAAATGAAAATCCTAAAAAATATTGAGTGAACTGCTTGTTAATTAGAAATCATATTAGGATTGTTGATGTGATTTTCTAGCTAATAATGCAGATGCTTACGTTGCTCCGAGGTAAGTAATTCTCCCAATCTTACAATTTATTTAATGTTTTGATTATTGGGTGTTACTTTGGTGATTTGCGCACTCGCATGATCACCTCACATGCTAGTGACTAAGTTAAAATGGATCCAGACTGCATGCATAAACATTTTTTGAAAAGAAAAGGTACCGAAAGGGCGTTAGACTAGATCTAGCGTAATCAAGTCCCTGAGCTTAGAATCTTTGGTTCGTAGGAATAAAAAATATCTCCCTATGTTTTATTTAGATTTCTAATCGACCTATCACAAATAGATTAGTGGCGACTCCAAGCATGAAAACTTTTGCATGTTAAAAACTTAAACCCTAAGTTGCGAATTGGTAGGGCTTGGAAGGGCCCGAGTTAAGCTTAGTCTTAATAATCCATTAGCCTGAGAGAAATTTTAGGTCGCGACAGGGACGCAGGTTATGAAGTACACATCTTCATTTGATGGAATTGAAACTCCTTAAGACTACAATGTGTGTAACTTCAATCCCCCAACAAGTGAGCGGGTTAGCAAGTATGGGCAAAGTAACAAACTGAGGAAAGAGTTTGAATCAATATGATCGGAATTTGATCCTCTAGGTAGGTGACATAATCAGAATGACAGATTTAAGAAAATTTATCTTACGTTAAATGCCTCTTCTAGATCTTCCTCATTCCACCCTACAACTCACCTGTCATTTTTCATCTAGTATAAACTGATCTTCCATGACTTCTGAATTGCATCTGGATTCTGAATCTTTAAGCAATTACAGTCATGGAACAAGATGGCCTGATTAAGGGTAGAATAACATTAGGTATAGCAACCAAATGCATAATCCAGTGGAGCAAGAGTTCCTCACAAGCTTTAGAATAACATATCCCCAACTTTAAACTGAATAAACTTGTGATTTGTAGCAAACCATCTTCAAGTCTATGAGTCTGTCGCCTGGACATTTCAATTATCTCCACAACAGGCCTCAATAACATGTAAACATTCTCTGCTAAACAACTCAATGATTAGTAAGTCATTTGAGTTTATGTAAGGCACTTGCTGCAAATTGAAGTATAAGATTAAGGGTAGACTAGCCACACCTGGGATTCTGAAAGGCCCCTGTGATTAAGGGTAGATGCATAATTCGCAGAAACAAATATGTACGGTTCGCTCAATACCCTCTCTGATTTCTTGGGCTCTCATTCTCCAAAGGAAACCCCAGATTAGCGACCGTCGAACAGCAATTATGCTATGAACCACACAGAAGCACCGTTTTCAACACATCATAAAAATACAAAAATAGATGAAACCAACTTGGAGTTACCATTAAATTCCTCTGTTCCAAGTGCTTCGAGAGCTTGCAGGAACAAATGCTAAACGATCGCCATATCTCAGTCATCCAGGGGTTGTTCTAAGCTCCAGCACTAGTCAGTCCAGAGAATCCCTCCATGCGCTGTAATTATTTCCTGGGAACTGCACTAATCACTCTCCAGTACAAAGTTGCTATAAAGCTGTCAATCTCATTAAACAACATATTTCATTTGTGATTAAAAAAGAGGATCAAGAAAGAAGCTTGCAGAACATATTAATAGAAGATCACAATAAAAAGGATCAACATCACATTTTGTTTACATATTTTGGGATGGTTATAAAGGTAAAAGAGATGTGGTTATGATAAAATGCAGGTCACTAAATAGAAGAAATCCTATTTACTGCTGCAGCAGTGATCATACAAAACTTGATTAAAGTCTCAGCCAAGCTAGTAGCGAAGTAGGTTCATTTGTGCATGCCATGAGAAAAACATAGAAACATGTCCCAACTGTTACAAGCGAGATGTCATGCAAACAAACCAGATGAAATGTGCCTTTTGTAATTGCAGTATATCTAACATCATATCTGCTGAAAGGGACTATTATTTCTTCCTAGTGCCCTGTTTGTATTCAGTCTCCAATTTAACTCCATAAACTCTAATTCTCTTGACAATAGTTTCACTTGCCTCAATCTTTAGTAATACCAGTCCTATTTTTCTCGGTGAATTATGTCCTCGAGAGAAATAAGTTTTGCCTGTATCATATGCCCTATGATAGAACATCATTTGGTTCATCATATGCATGTTTCTTCTTTCTTTTGATGTGCAGAAAACCATGTCTGCTATCATTTATCATCAAGCATGCAATAATCACCACTAGTGACAGTGCAAATCCAACTTAATGACACAAATATAAATAAATCCAACTATAATATTGCTAGTTAGAAATACAACTGTAATGATATTAACTGGTCAAACATCTTCTCTGCACCAAATATTCTGATTATTATGCTATTTACAGAAACTATTACATTCGGATAAAACCATCAGTATTAACTGCTTGGTGAGAGCTATTTGATAACAATTTTCCTGGTTGCAGCTACTGTTATTTTCTTGAGCTAACTTTTCAGTTCTACTTGGGCATGTCCAAAGAAATTTCTCACCATTTGTCACAATGAGAGTTCAAGATGACATATTTCAAGGTAAAAAGGTTACCACCGGGAGCACAGAATATGCACCTTTAAATTGTTGAAGCAGATACATAGGAGGGGATATTACATGCATAAAGCAGGTGCCCATAATCAACTATGAAAGTGTTTAATACTATTGCATCACCAAGTGAACCATTGTCCACTATAAAACTGTATAGAAGTACCAGCACAACATCCTCCAGCAGATTTTCAGTACAACATTCCCTGCACTTATAAGTAATTCTTTATGAACTTTGAATTAATTGTTTACAGATCGTTAGACATAACGCTTTATTCTCTTGACAATAAAAGGAGGTAAAACCAACAAGTATCTTATTTCATCATAAATTATCCTACTCCCTCAAAGATGTATAAGATTTAAAAAAGAAATCCTGCATTGATCCCTAATCTGAGACATTACCTGGGAGAAATGAATGCTGCAGAGCTATCTACAATAGAAATTTGATTGAAGAGTAGAGAAGAACCTAATAATGAATTTAAACATTAAGTTCTATCAAGCATTCAAGCATCAGTGACCAGAAAATTAGTAGCTTAAACTTTAAAAACATAAATGACTTCAAGTGAGTAATGACCAACTATTTAAAGGGGGAGAATTGAGAGAAGTAAAACAGCACTCATTTGAAGAACAACAATTTCCAGAGGTAGTTAAGAACATGCTTTCAATTAAAAGACAAATGGAGATTTTACAGAAAGTAGCAGCATATTTTTCTAATAAAACAAACAACAGCAAATACAGTTGCTTAATCAAGACTGGAAGAGTTAGAACATTTTCAATACCACTCAGATACTGAAGGTTGAACTTAACTGGCCACAGAGGTGCACGAAACAAAACTCTATTTATTGAGTTCTCATGCAGGCTAAAGGATCAATAATAACAAAGATGAGGGTTAAGAAACTGTATCTCAAGAAACATTTCTTGTATAAGTTGCTTCAAAAGTTTCTTTTATTAACGTCTCTTTATAACTACTTTAAAAAGTTTTTGTGTCCCATTGGTGATCGATGGGATTGAAGAGGACAATTGAGAAATGAAAAACCAGCAGTTCTTCCATGTTTAAGTTTAAGCAGAAAAAATTAAAGATCAATGGCAGTATGAAAGAAGGGAAAGAATGCTTGAGACCGATTTCTGCAAATTATCCCGAAGGAGAGTACCAAAAGCCCTTCAGCATGCATTATGCAAGAGCTATGAAAGAAAATATAATAGCCAACACAGAAATTGCACAAGCAAATAGTGCACATAAAATATCAAGACAAATAAAAAAATCTGCAACAAATCACTAGTCTAAGAATGGGGAAAAACTAAAAGATGATGTTGAGTTACCCAAGACTTACCCTATTTACTGATTCTCAGTTTCTTCGGAATTGTCAGCTTTCGGAATATAACCTTCCCTCTTCATCTCATCCACCAATACTTGATACATCTCCACTGTGTTATAATGCAAACCATCACCAGCATGAAATTCATGAAGCTGAGTCTCAATCCCCAACCAACTGCAACCAGGTGTCTTAGTTATACCCCTTTGTCTCATCAATATTCTCATCCTCGCTGATTCATCCCACTTCTTCACATCAGCATAGAGTTTTGATGATATAACATAGTTCCCAGAATTCGAAGGTTCTATTTCCAGAAGCAGCTGCATCACCCGCTCACCGATATCTGCATTTCGCCGCTTCTGACAGGCACCAAGTAATGACCCCAGAACAACTTCATCTGGCTTTCCAGGCATCTCCTCAATGAAGCTCCATGCCTCATATAAAAGTCCAGCACGAGAAAATAGGTCAACCATACAAGAATAATGCTCAATTTTTGGGACCAATCCAAATGACGTGCACATCAGAGCAAATATTCTACGCCCCTCAGTAACCAGACCACCATGCACACATGCAGAGAGTACTCCGACGAATGTGATGTCATTTGGGCAGACATGCTCACCCTCTTTCAACATCCGATCAAATAGTGCTAATGACTCCTTTGCTCGACCATGAAAAGCTAGGGCAGAAATCATAGCATTCCAAGATACCTCATTTTTCTGAGGCATGTCTTCAAAAACTTCAAGAGCATTGTCTAAACTTCCACACTTAGCATACATATCAATTAAAGCAGTACCAACATAAACATCACGCCTTAAGCCACTATAAGACGCATATGTGTCCACCCACTTCCCCAAGTATAGGGCGCCTATTGAGGCACAAGAAGACAACACACCGAGCAGTGTAATTTTGTCAGGATCAATGCCAGCCTCTCTCATCGTGCTAAATAGTGTGATCGCTTCATCAGCCATCCCATTTTGGGCATAACTGTCACATATCAATAAGTCAAAAAAAGTTAGAGAGCCCCTCACCAATTACGCTTAATCGTGCAGATTACCATAATATGTATCTTGGACATCACTAACTAATTAACTGAACCAAAGGTACAAGGAGAACGCACATGTCAATTGTAAGGATAAATTCTCCCACAGATAACCCAAAAGAAAGTATGAGTGGCACCATCCTCATTACTGAAAGGCTAGTATATGAAACAGTAAAAGAGAAGCAAGAATCAAGCTAACAGAGTGCACTGCCGATACCCTTGTGAAGCTAAATCAAGCAGAGACGGAGGCAAGGATCTGAAAACCTTTCAGAAAAGCAGGTAAAACAACAAAACTTGAAGTTTCCCAAAAAAAAAAAAACTTTTCAAAACTATCCACTATTAGAAAAAGAAACAATCTTGTTGCCACTACACGAAAAGGCTGGGGCAAACCTCGACTATCACTCAGTTGAAGAAAAACATTCATATTTGTATTATGAAGAGTATATATGACAATTCGACCATTGGATCAGGATCAATCCTAGTAAAGTCTTACAGTTCAGAATGAGCAACCCATAGAAAAGCTAATATGTGACCTATAGCAATTAGACCAGTAGGAAACAAAGATGTCACTGGTCAAATGAGGCAGTAACTGGTGATTTTATAAAGTAAGCAAGCAAGAGAAAAAGACTAATACCCTGTGATCATAGCATTCCAAGTCACTACATCCCTCTCTACCATTTTATCAAAAATTCTCTTTGCTGATGTCAAATCCCCACATTTCCCGTACATATCAATCAAGGCAGATCCCACGTATGAGTTCAACTTCATCACATTATCCAGAACATATACTTCTATCCACTTGCCCAAACTCAGATCCCCCAAGTCTCCACACGCCGCGAGAGTGCTCACCACGGTCATTTCATCAGGCACGAATCCTTCCTCCCCCATTTTCCTGAACAGCTCGACCGCATCCGCTGCAAAACCCATTTTCGCATACCCAGATATCATCGAGTTCCACGAGACCAAATCTCTGTCGACAATTTCGTCAAACACCCTGCGTGCAGTCTCCAGCTCCCTGCACTTGGCGTACATCATGATCAACGAGTGACTAGTATGACTGTCCGAGTCCAACCCAGCCTTAAACACCGTCGAATGAGCCGCTCGACCGCGGTCCAGCTCGCAAAGATTCGCGCACGCCATGAACAGAAATGGGTACGTGAAATTATTGGGCTTCAGCCCTGCGGATCTCATGCGGTAGTAGTAGCGCAGCGCCAAAGGGTAGTTGTGCCGCGCGATGGTCAAGCCCCGGATCATGACATTGAAGGCGTAGTCGTTGGGCCGAGGGATGCGAGAGAAGACGAGGGAAGCGTACGGCACGTCCTTGAGGTCGACGAGCTTCGCGAGGAGGAAGTTGGGCTTGTCGACGGCGCCGGCGAGCATCTGCGCGTGGACTTGCCGGACTGCTCTCGTGGAAGTGCATCTTCTCAAGAGGGACAGGAGCGATTCGCAGTGGATCTGCTTCGGCGAATGGACGGGGATGGGTCGGGATTTCGAAAGGCTCGGTTGGCGGGGAACGAGGTGAGGTAGGACGTGTGCCCTGAGCATCGTATTGAGGGGGAGCCACCCTCCCGAGGCTTTTTCTGTACTATTTATTTGGAATTCCGCCAGGGTAATTAACACTACTTTCCCTCTTTTTGGCTAAAATACACCGTATTTGTAATAACTTAGGAAAAATTCCACGGGGTCCTTTTCTCAAAAGAGGACCCAAAGTGAACATGGTGTCAAATAAAGATCTGAAGTGCTCAATCAGTCTCAAATAGGAGCCCGAAGTACTCAATTTGTCTCAGGTAAGGGCCTGGGTTCGCCGGCCGGTCAAATCTCGCCGGCCGGCGAGCATAGTTACTGTTCCGGCAACCGCAACAGTACATTTCATCTCTATTTTTTTTTCTTTTTCTTTTTTTTTTCTCTTCCCTCCGCCGGCCATAACCGGGGCCGGTGGAGGTCGCCAGCCTCAGGCGGAGGCTGCCCTCGCCCGACGCCGGCGAGGGTCGCCCTCGACTGGGTTGGGCGGGCGAGGGCGACCCTCGCCGGCGGAGGGCGACCCTCCCCGGCGGAGGGCGAGGGCTCGAGCTCGCCGGCCATCTGGGTGAGTTCAGCTGGCGAGCTCTGCCCAGATCTGGGCGAGCTCGAGCTCACCGGCCATCTGGGCGCCCGGCGAGCTCGCCCCGGATGTGCACAGGCGAGCTCGAGCTCGCCGGCCATGGCGAGCTCCGCCCTGATCTGGGCGAGCTCGAGCTCATGCCGGCCCTCGCCATGGCTGTGCGGGCCGGCAAGGGGCGGAGCTCGCCGGCCGAGCTCGCCCGGATGGCCGGCGAGCTCGAGCTCCCGCCGGTCTCGGCGAGCTCGAGCTCGCCGGCCATGGCACCCTCCCCCTCCCCTTCCCGCTCCAAGTTCTCCCCACGGAAGCCCCCGCCGGAGTCCCCGGGCTCCGCCGCCAGCCCCGCCCGCCCGATACGGCCCTCAACAACCCAAATCTCGGGCCCTTCCTCCTCAAGCTCGCGCGCGACACCATCGCCTCCGGCGATGGCCCCGCCAAGGCCCTCGACTACGCGATCCGGGCGAGGCCGGCGAGCTCGAGCTCGCCCAGATCTGGGCGGAGCTTGCCATGGCGGGCGAGCTCGAGCTCGCCTAGATCTGGGCAGAGCTCGCCGGCCGAGCTCGCCTAGATGGCCGGCGAGCTCGAGCTCTCGCCGGCCTTAGCTCTGGCCCGGTCGCCGGTTGCCAGACCGGCGACCGGGGAAGAAGAAAAGAAAAGAAAAAAAAAATTGGACAAAATTGCCCCTATTCCGGTGCCGGAAATGTCGGCCGGTCGCCGGCCGGAAAACATTTGGCCGCCCGGCGAGCTCAGGTCCTTATTTGATACTAGTTTGGCACTTTGGGTCCTTAATTGATACCTTGTCCACTTGAGGTCCTCTTTTGAAAAAAGGCACCCACTTTGGGTCCTTATTTGATAATTTCCCTAATAACTTATCAAATTATTACAAACTGGTATATCTGTGATAAATTTAACACCAACTAATTTTGACCACGAAAAACCCGAAATAGGTGCACCCGTGATAACTTTACCCCAAACTAATTTTTTTACTACCAAAAACCCTAAAACTGGTACATTTATGACAAACGAAAGGGAAAACCCCAAACTAGTACACTCATCAACTGCCACGGGTCATCTAATTCAGCAATTTGATGATAAAATTTAACGGAAATTCTCGAAAGGTAAATTTGTCATAGGTGTACCAGTTTGAAATTTTTTGTGGTCAAAAAACTAGTTTGGGGTAAATTTGTCATAAATGTACCAGTTTGAGATTTTTCGTGGTATTAACCCAACTATCAATTAAAGAATCAAAATTTCATTAATGTGCTTGTATTATTCTCACTTGCGGTGGGTGAGGGCGACCCTCACCCGAGGCCGGTTAGGGCAGCCCTCGCCTGAGGTCGCCGGCCATTTACGAGGCCCGACAATCCTCCCTTGTCAATGGACTACGGAGGAAAAATGACAAAAGAAAAAGAAAAGAAAAGAAGAGAAAATGAAAAAAAAAATAAAGAAGGAAAAGAGGAGAAAATAAAAAAAAACAAATAAAAAATTGAAAAAAATATTAAAATTTATCCGCGTCAGTGTCAGCTGTGCCACAAAAGACGGCCGGCGTCCACGTCAGTGACTCCTCGGCCAAAATTGGCCGAATTGACTTAATTGGCAAAATGTGAAAAGGTTTAGGACTTAATTAGCACAATTAAAAGATTTAGGACTGAATTGACAAAAGTGCAATAAATTAAAGCTATGTTTTGAGATATGTAATAAGTGCCATGAAATGTGAACCGTGACATCCCATCATACTCAAACTTGCATGTAACTATGTTTTCGGGACATGTATGATTGAGTCCTAGTCATTACCTTGTAATCAAGCAATGTTGCTACCTAGGGATGCCCCTAAATAGCAGTAATCCCGACTTTGGGCGGGTGCCCTATTGTGAGATTGGGCGAGTGTTTTCGTCACGGGGCAAACATCTTTGAAAGGATTATATTTATTATTGAACTCAAGAGCTTCTATATGTATCCATGTATGTTTTCATGTATCTGTTCATTATAATGACTTGTAAAGATCTTATATGGAAAACGATGCTTGTTGATGAATGTCCATGGTTTATTTTCAAATGTGGTTGTGCATGGAATCTCATGACTTCATTTGGAAAGCTAACTACTCTTACATATCATGCATTTTGAGAAGAGTTGACTAGGGACAATGTGTACAACAAGGGGGAAATTGTCCAACAAGTTCTAAACCTATTATACGGCAGTCAATTCAGTCCTAAACCTTTTAATTGTGCCAATTTAGTCCTAAAATTTTTGATGACTTGTCGATTTAGTCATAAATTTTTTGACGACTTGCCAATTTAATTTTTCATGTCAATTTTGGTCGGAAATCGTTGAAGTGGACAACGTCCGGCTGTCGACCATCTTGCGTGGCATGGTCGGTGTTGACAAAGGGAAAGAAAAGGAAAAAAAAGAGAGGAAAAACGGAAAACAAATGCAAAAATGCAAAAATTATCCACGTCAGCACCGGCCATGTTACGTAGGATGCCCAGCGGCCGGCCAACATCCACATCAGCGTTTTCCGGACAATTTTGGCCGGAATGACTAAAATGACAAGTCGTCAAAAGATTTAAAATTAAATTGACAAGTCGTCAAAAGATCTAAGATTAAATTGACAAATCACCATAAGGTTTAGGATTAAATTGGTACAATTAAAAGGTTTAGAACTAAATCGGCATAATTAAAAGGTTTAGAATTGAATTGTTCGTCATACAATAGGTTTAGAATATTTTTGGACAATTATCTTGGACACATGAAAACATGTCTTGTTCATATCATGCCTATAACACTTAATCTGCTCCTAAATGGCTTGAGCTTGGACCCTCTTCCCACAACACCATAAAACCAAAATAAACTCTCTCTCTCTCTCTCTCATCTTCGGTCGTGACTAGTGTTGGAAAGACATTGTCTTTCAACTTTTATTGGCCAAAAAAAAAACTTAGCTAGAGTAATTAAAATATATTGATTAATAGCATGTTCTTTAAAGTAGCATGTCCATGAGACGTCAATATCTCTATGGGCCACTTTTGTCCGAGGTAATAAATACAATAGGATATCGACATCATGGAGACAAATAGTAATGTTTTTAACAAAAAGACTAACAATTGTGAGGATGGCTAACAGTATTATCTAGAGAGCGACGAATAGATTAAAAAATCTTAACAAGATATTGCGGAATTATATGTACTAAAATTTGAAATAAACGTAATTGGGTAAAACAAAGTGTTGATATAAACAAGTTCTGATTATATCAATCAGTGTGGTGTAGTGCTTTTATCAAACAGTAAGAAAATAAGAGCAAGGAGACAAAGAACAAGGCACTAGAGTTTACAGTGGTTCAACTTGGTGTAAGCCTATGTCCACTTTCCCAAACTAATAGCCTACTGGCTGGATTCAACTAGTCAATTGTTGACACCAGTGCACGACCAATGACCTGAGCCCGAGCGTCAAGAACCCACGCACGACCATTGTTGTCCCCGACTCTCAGCTCGAGCATCAAGGACCCGAGCACGACCTTTATGGATCCGAGCTCGGGTACCGAAGCATTGGGTACGAACACCTAGGGTTCGAGCCCGATCTCGATAGCATCGGAGGCTCATGCCCGATGGACCTAGGCCTGGCCACCGAAGACCTAGTCCGAAACATCGACCTAGGAACCAACGTTGGGGTTTTTGTACCCAACTGTAAAATTCCAAGTCCAAGTGTCGACAGATAGCCATATTTTTAAAAACATTTTTCGGTTTTTTTAAAGAGAAAATTATCTTCTTGAATTTAAGTTTTGATAAGAAAATATTTTCTATTTTCTAGGAAAACAATTTTCATCGACTCATTTTCCTAAGCGAACTAAATGCCGGAAAATAAAAAATATTTTCCGTAAAATAAATGGACCCTTAGGCTCCGTTCGTTTGGCGGAAAATATTCTTCTTTTGGAAAATATTTTCCCGAAAGTCATTTTCCTGGAAAATATTTTCCCGGAACATAATTTTTCGGTGTTCGGCGACCAATATGAAAAAGTTTCGAAAAATATTTTTCGTCGGCGACCGTGTGCGGCGGCGGCGGCCGCGGCCGTCGACCGGCGACCGGTGGTGGCGGGCGCGGCGAGCGGCCGCCGACCGGCGGCGGTGGAGGCCGGCGACCGGCGGTGGCCAGTGACCGGCGGAGGTAGCGGCCGTCGACCGGCGGCCGTGGCGGCGGCAACCGGCTACGGTGGCGGCAGCAGCAGCGGCGGCCGCAGCAGCAGCGTCGGCGAGCGGCGCCGGCGGCAAGCGTCGGGAGGGCGGACAGCGCGGCGGCGTCGGGCAGGCGGGCGGGCGAGCGGGCGGCCGACGGCCAACGGCGGTAACCAGTGATTAACTTCCTCTCCCACGGAAAACATTTTCCCTCCTATGGGCAATTTTGCCTTCACTTTGGGGGAAAATGATTTCCTCTTTGTGAAAAGAGGAAATCATTTTCCTCAAAACAATGAAGGATTTGAGAGTGGGGAAGGAAAATGTTTTCCCACGGAAAATATTTTCCGCCCCCGAACACCGGAAAACGCGAAAAATATTTTCCAGAAAAATATTTTTCCGCAAACGAACACAGCCTTAAAAAGGCAACTAACTACCAGAGATGTTCTTGAATCATGGCACAAAAAAGTCCACCTCTGGATTGGAGCCATTTTTTTAATTTAATCCTTGCCGTATGCCGCATTTGTAAAAATGATTCCTTGCATTTATACCGTTCTGATGAGAAATGTTAAAATATTTAAATGTAACAAATTATGGCTTCATTTAACAATTTAAGTTTTTAAAATGGAAAAATTAATAAGAAAGTATTGCACTTGTACCAATTTAGTCTTAAACCATTTAATATGATCAATTTACTCATAAACCTTTTGACGATTTGCCAATATAGTCCATCCGGTTAATTTTGGATGAAAATTGCTGATATGGAGGCCGGGCATTCTAAGTGGCACGGCTAGCGCTGACGTGAACAATTTTTACAATTTCTTAATAACTATTGTGAATTTTATTCTTTTTTTTTCTTTCTTTGTTTTTCCCTTTTCTTTTCGCCAACGAATGATTGCCCTCGTCCACCACAAGCTATGGTCAACCTCGCCTGGGCAAGGGCCCCCCTCACTAGATCTAATGAGGTCGGTCCTTATTGGGCCTCGCCTAGGCAATAACGAAGGCCACCCTCACCAGATCTAGCCAGATCTAGCCAGATCTAGCGAGGGCTAGCCTGGGCAAGGGTCACCCTTAAGCTAGCCCTTACCTATGGTGTCGGCCTCACCCCTCGCGCTAGTGAGGCCGCCCTAGCCTGTGCCAGGGTCAGCCTTGCCATATTAGGGGAGGGTGGCCCTCGCCCTCACCCAGGCAAGGCCCAACGAAGCTACCTTGGCCTAGGCGAGGATCGTTCTCGCTAGATTTGGCGAAGGGAGCCCTCGTCAGTGCTCACCCTCGCCCAGCTGAGGCCAGCCATTGCTTGTGGTTGTGGCTGGTAACTTGGCGAAAAGAAAAGGGAAAAAAAGAAAGAAAAAGTTCAGAAAAGTATTAAAAATATTGCAAAAATTATCTGCGGAAACACTTGCCATGCCACATAGGACAATCGAAATCCATGTCAGCGATATTTGACTGAAATTTGGTTGAAATGACTACATTAGCAAATTGTTAAAAGGTTTCGGATTAAATTAGTCAAATTGAAAGGTTAAGGACCGACTTGACACAAGTGAAATAATTTTAAGACTTTCTTGGTAATTTCCCCATTCTAAAATAGTTAACAATAGCCTCACAAATTTTTACGTGATATCTTGAGTTCAAATCTTTTGAGACCTCTACGCGTGAGAGAGGATTGCTAGAGTATTTAAATATTAAACTTTCCAACAAAATTTTACATTGCGAAAAAATAAGGGTTCCTGAGTTCAAATATTTCGCACAAAATTTTACATGGCGACAAAATAAGGGTTTCTGAGTTCAAATCTTTCTAGCCTCTTAGGGCGCGCATGGTAACATTTCTGTTCCAAAAATAGATTTTTCTATTTCTATTATGTAGACGAGTTTCTGAGCAAAAATGTGTCTTTAATAACGACACAAAATTTCTGTTTCCGAAATAGAAATTCGTTTGATAACAATACAAAATTTCTCCCTTTCGGGCGGTCGACGGAAGACGGCAAGTGGCGGCAGGGGGCGGGGAGGACGATGGGCGGCAACGAATGACTGCGGCTGGTGACGAGAGGCGATTGGCGCTGGGCGACAGCCGATGTCAGGTGGTGGAGCACGGTGGCCGGCGACGAATTGTGGCGGTGGCTGTCGGCGGTGGAGGGCGGGCGGCGTCGAGCGGTGGAGCACGGCAGCTGGCGACAGATGATGGCGATCGGTGATGGGTGGCCGCCGACCCCCCGGGGGGTGGCCGACGGTGGGAGGCAGAGGGTGGCCGACGGTGGGAGGCAGAGGGCGGCCGACGCAGGGTGGCGGCCGATGTCGGGCGGCAGAGGACAGTGGTCGGCAGCAAGAGGCGGGCGGCGAGCGGCGGCGGGAGCTGGCCGATAGGTGGCGGCAAAGGACGGCGGGAGGCGACAGTGGGCGGGTTGCGGCCGACATTAGGCAATGGCGAAGATGGAGGATGGCGATGGGAGGAGGTGGTTGGCGAAGGACGCCGGCGGTAGGCGGCCGACGGCGGGAGGCTGTCAACGGTGGCGGGAGGTAGCCAGCGGCAATAGCGAGTGGCAAGGGGGTGGCTGACTAGTAGCGAAGGCGAGCGATAAGAAGAGTTTTTATTTCTCATTTCTGTTCCAGAAATAGAAAAGTAAATTTTTTTTACTTCTGATTTATGTTCCAAACCTATTTCTGGAATATAAATTTGTTCCAGATATAGAAAAATGAAATTACGTTACCAAATGAATTTCTATTCCAAACCTATTCCTGAAAACAAAAAAATATAAAAATAAAAATAAAAACACAAATGATTTCATGCGCACCCTTATTATCCTCCTTTATTATCTATTACAATATTTAGTCTTAGGCCATCCAACCTACGTATAACGAGAGCAACAAAATATTTAAATATTAAATCATATTTTCATATAATAACTTAAATTTTAAATAATGAACTCATAAAAAAAATTTAAAAAATAACTCTTTTGTATATATTCTAATCTAATGAAATTGTCATTTGTGAGAACCAGACGGCTGTCATATCAAGCAACTTCATCTAGGTTTGCCAGAAAAGATGGATGGATGGATGGATGGGACATTTGTTGATATGGCTAGGGCTCACGCTAAATTGTGGAAATTGAATTGCAAGGGATCACTTTGTCCCAAGAGTATACATATTGAACCTTGTATACTTATTAAGCAGTCGCAAACTTGATATTTCGCAGCCGAACTTAGCTTTAAGCAGTTGGGAATTATTGAAATGCTGAAATATAGAGGGATATTGAAAGAAACTATGTAGATCTTGTTTCATTGGCCTCAATATCATTGTGCCTGGGTCACTGTGACTTTGTGCTTTAAAATCTGCTTCATTTGGATTGCTCTTTGCACTTCACTCCGGGGGATCTGCTTATTGCGTCATAAAACGAAGTACCAGTATCAAAACACAAAAGCAGACTGAAAGTTCTAGCTCTTTGCTCTCTCTTTTATTTTTATGTTTCCCCCTTTTATGCTGGTTGGAATGCTTATAATGCAAGATTATAGAAGTAAAACCATTTGATATGTAGGTGAGCTTTTGGATGTTCTGTCTTCATGGAAGTTTTGGGCACGTATGAGTTTGACAAGTTCCATATGTTTTATCACGCCAGTATCAAATGTGTGAAATCTCTCTGCTTTTGAATAAATTCTTGGTGTGTATACCTTCATACGCTCTAAACTATTGCCCCTTCTAATTGCCATTTTCTTGTCTTGTCTCTATTTTTGTGACAGTGTGGCATTACAATAAATCTTTCAAGTGGTACGAGTATGAGCAGGAGCGGTTCTGGACGGCACATCGGCACCCACCGGATGTTCGTACACTTATGCTCGTTCCAGGTATTCCACTAGCTTATATACTCGCTAACACTAAATGCTTCGTTTGTAAGTACATTTTATCCATATATCACTTCAAGAAAAAAGCCGGCCTTCTATGAATGATCGGAAGAAAGGGCTTGAAAGTATGAGGCGTGTAGAACAAAGTTGACCTCTTCAATTGCATTTGCAAAGATTCGAGCTTTTACTGCAAGTATGGTTCCTAAGACAACTATTCTATTTCTCGTTTTTATCCCTGACGAAACAGCTTTTCCTTTATTTGGTCCAAAAATAGATGAAAAAAAAATTTCTTTCAAGATCAGAAGCAGCTATACCTTGAGGGGCTCAGGAGCAGCTCTTCCATGCAGTTAGAAGTCGCATGAATAGTTTCAATTTTCACATTCCAAAACCTTTCATTTTTAACAATCGGTTATATTTAGAACAAATCAAAACTATTAAGCAAGGATTTAATTTTCTCATTCTTATTGTATTCAAATAATCCAATTATTTACCATTATGGTCGATTAATAACATATCAAATTATAATAGAATTACAACTCATTATTTTTTTGAGTTAGCTATGGTTGTAAATGTAATTTATAATCTTTTTTCATATATCTATATATAATATATGCAGCAACTTGTGGTCTCCTTCTAGGATTCTGATAAATTTGACCTTCCTGCATTAACACGTTATGACAACGAGGGCTAAGAGAAGAAAGCAAGCCCCTCCCCTTGAACTTTTCAAAGTCAATAACGTGCGTCTTACTTTGTGCCGGTTAACTAAGGCTGCGCATGGCAATCATTCTGTACCCAGAATCTGATTCTAGACAGAAATGATTCTTTTTTATTCTGTGTCCGGAAATAATTTCTAAGCATTTGAAAGGGTTTGGTAACTGCCTAAAATTTTTGTTCTTAAAATAGAAAAAGAACAGAAATACGTTTGGTAACTACACAAAATTTCCTTTTATTAATAATATTTTGAATTTTTTAATATTTATTTCTTCTTCTTTTTTCCTTTCTTTCCCCTTCCTTTCTTGGCCATGGCCGGCCGCCGGCGCTGGCGATCGGCGCTGGCGGCCGGCCACAGGCCAAGGCTGGGCGAGGGCGTCGCGACCCTCGTCGCCGCCCTCGCCGTCGCCACCCAGGTCCATCGCCTGGGTGGCGACGGCGAGGCCGGCCTCACCTTGGATGGGCGAGGCTCGACCTCGCCGTCGCTAGGGTTGGCGACGGCGAGGTCGAGCCTCGCCCAGCCAAGGCGAGGTCGAGCCTCGCCGAGCCAAGGCGAGGCCGTGAGCCGCCCTCGCCCAGGTAGCGAGGGGGACCCTTGCCGACCCTGGCCTGTGACCAATCGCCAGCAGCCGGCGGCAGTGGCCAGTGGCCGGCGGCAGGCGAGTGGCCGGGCCGAAGAACAACAACAACAAAAAAAAAGAAAAAAACCAAGAAGAATCAGTTTTGAAAAAATTGTTCTAGAATCAAGAAGCTATTGTTTTTTTATTCTTGATTCTATTCCAAAACTGATTCTGGGCATAATTTTTTGCAAAATTGTGCCTGGGCACAAAAAATTTAACAAACGGATTTATATTCTCAAACTGATTTTGGGAACAAAATAACATAATCAATCACTATTTGGCAAGTTGCCAAACAGGCCCTAAGAGACCAAATGCAGGTCTCAACACTCCCAACTCAATCAACAATGCTTCCAATCTCAAGTAAGAATTTAAGCTAGGGCAGCATTCCAATCTCTCTAATGGCCTCTTCTTCGCGACTCGGACGAAATTACGATGTGTTCCTTAACTTCAGAGGCGAAGATATCCGCAACAACTTTGTGGGTCATCTGTGGAAGGCCTTGGATCAGGCCGGCGTGAGGACGTTCATGGATAGCAAGGAACTGAGGAAGGGAGAGGGAATATCACCCTTGATCACGAGGGCGATCAAAGAATCACGCGTTGCTGTCATCATCTTCTTGGAGAGCTATGCTTCATCGCCATGGAGCTTGGAGGAGCTAGCGCAGATATTGGAGTGCAAGAAGATGAAAGAACAGGTTGTGATGCCTGTATTTTACAAAGTGGAACCGAGGAAAGTGAGAGGAAGACACGGGAGTTACGGGAAGGCACTGGCAAAGCATGGAGTCTAAGTATGGGAAGGATTCAGAGAGAGTGAAGAAATGGAGGGAAGCTCTTGTTGAAGCTGCTAATTTGTCTGGGTGGCATCTGGACAACGGGTAATTCTCATATATAATCACATAAAAATAATTATAGATAGACCGAGACACACTCCGGCCTAGTCGCGCGCTGGGCCATACCTGCCTTTTCTCTTCATTAGTTCGAAATTTGAAGTGTATTTGTTTTTTGTTTTTGGGTAGTGACACAAGATATCAATGTTCATATGAAGGGGTGTCGTTGAAGTTTGTTCGAGCCAAACACGTATTTGCCCAACCCGAAAAGCCCCGGTTGGGTCAGGTTAATAAGTGCCTGAAAATAGGAAAGAGATAAATAAATGGAGAAACAGCAATGGAAGCTTCAATATGTTGGTAAAGAGTGCATTATGTGAAGAAAATTTGCATTAACTGAAATTTTGGTGATTCTTGTTTTCTTGCCTTTTGCATTTACAGAGATGAATCCAGTCTAATTGAGAGCATAACTAAAGAGATCTCAGTCAAATTAGGCACAGTGCCCCTCCATGTTTTAAAGCATCCAGTTGGAATAGATCACCGGGTAGAGAAAGTCGAATTGTTGTTGAGAATGGAACTTAGTGATGCTCACATGGTGGGAATCTGGGGGACTGGAGGCATAGGAAAGACAACTATTGCTAAAGCTGTTTACAATGCTCTCCATAGACAATTTGTCAACCGCTGCTTTCTCAACAAAGTGGGCGAAACATCGAAAAATCACGGCATGGTTCATCTGCAGAAGGAACTTCTGCATAAGATGTTGCGGACAAAAGGCTTAGAAGTGTCGAGCGTTGATGCGGGGATTAATTTGATACGGGATAGACTCTGCTGCAAAGAGGTTCTTCTTGTTCTTGATGATGCGACTGATATGGACCAATTAGATGCATTAGCCGGAGAATGTGACTGGTTCGGTAAAGGAAGTCGGGTCATCATTACAACAAGAGATAAACATTTGCTCACTTCTCACACTATAAGTGAAATATACGAGGTCAAACCTTTAAATCACACTGAATCTCTTGAGCTCCTTAGTAGTCATGCTTTTCCAAGGGGTGAGAAAATGGAGATGAGTAGGGATCTGGTGGACGACGTTCTGAGGTATGCGAATGGGCTTCCTCTAGCGCTTGTAGTGTTGGGTTCATTTTTTAATGGTAGAAGCAAAGACCAGTGGAAGAGCGCATTGAATAAACTTGCAGAGCATCCGAATGAAATGATCAATAATGTCCTGAAGATTAGCTTTGAGGCCCTAGATGATCAACAGAAGGAAATTTTTCTCGATATTGGTTGTTTCTTGTTGACACCTAAATTTCGGCGCATCATTTAGTGGTTAATTGCATAGAAAATTAGGGATTAAATTTTAATCCCTGAACAAAAGTATTACAAATCGCATAGCATAAAGTTTAGGTTCATATAGATTAACTGCATTTTGCATCGGATCGGCAGTGGTAAGCGAGCTTAAAATTCATCACGTAAATCGAGCTCGGGCACCGAATGAGACTCGGCTCACTCGGAAAGCATGGGCCGAAAATCACACACAAAAGGGCTTGGTTGTCTTAATTTGAGCTTAAATTAGCCCATTATGCTTAATTAAAGAAAAGCCCAAATTAATTCAGCCCACTTAGAATTAAATTAAAGCCTAAACCTAAGCCCATTAGGACTAGAAAGCCCGGCTAATTGACCTAAGTTTACACTATAAATATATGTTTATGTCGCATAATCTGGGGGAAGCTTTCATAATTTCAGAAATCAGATTTTTAGAGAGAGCAAAAGGGAGAGAAAGAGAGAGAGTCGGTTGCGTACGGGTGCATCCGCCGCGTCCGCGCTGCCCCTCCGCCGTGCCTGGGTCGCTGCCACTGCTGTTCCGCAGCGCCCAAAGGACTCTGCAGTTTATCCCCGGCGGTGCTGCTCTCCCTCGTGGTCACCTTGAACGCCGCAGGATAACTTCTTGCTCCAACCGGCCACCGTGAGTAACACCAGCAAGTCTTCATCGCTGAACCTGCAATTGCAGCGAAGCATCTTCCCGAAGCATCAGACTAGTCGCTTCCCCTGCCCAGTTGAAGACTTGTCCAAGTTGAAGGCTGAACCCGTGAGTCCAAGAGGTTGACTTTGTCACCTTTCTGCCAACGTTGCTCCCTCCTAGTGTCCCCGAAGCAGCAGCCCAGCTGATCCTGACGATCTCCACCTTCACGTGACGGCTCCTGCTCGTCTCTTCTCTGTCCAGCGACCAATCAACAGCAACTGCAAGTAGCGAATGTCCAGGAAGTCCAGTGAGTTCTTGAGCAGTCTTGATTCTTTTGTGATTAAAGCATCACAACCAGCCACCATAGTCGGCTAAGCATCCAAGCCCACCGAGAGCACTCTCGGCCGAGAACCAGTCCAAGCCGTGGAGGTCCCCAACTAAACACCATCCTGCTGTCCGTGAGCAACACCGACGAGACACCACCGCTGTTGCTCTCGATGCCGCGCCATCGCTCGTGCACCGCCGCTCGTGCACCGCCACTGTTCCCGACGTCACGCCGCCGCTCCCGACGCACCGCCGATCCGCAATCCCGATCCGCTACAGATTCAAATTAGGAAAGAAATCTGCAAATCAGGTAATTATCATATCCCGATTTGATTCGAATATTTGGTTGCCTAATTTGTACTTATTGATATTTAATTTTGCATATTTGGATAATAAGCATTATTTCAATTAGGATTTTATTTCCTTTTTTGAAATCTTGGATATCTATTACTTTTCAAATTTGGATAGAATTTATAATTTTCAAAATCTTTTGAATATATCCAAGATATTTAAGATATCTAATTTTTTTCAAGATGTGATCGATTAGGAAAATTTCCTAATCCGCAACCGCACACGTGGAAATAAATCTATCTATCAGGCTTTAGATAGAGTTATTTCCATAGCGGGTATTTCGAATTTTAGGATCGATCTGTCAGGCTTCAGATTGAAACTTAATTCGAAAGATTTAGCGGTTATATTTTTTTACTTGATTTTAATTTCGAATTTTGATTAAAAAAAATGCCAAAAAGATTACTCTAGAATAGGTTAATTTCTTTAGTTTAAAATTGCATGTTTAAATAATTGGCATTTTTAATTCCGAATTTCATTAAAGAAAAAAAAATACAAAAAAATAATATGCCCGTCATTAGAAATAGGTCATGTCGTCGCATGACATATAGTTTGCATGTTAGGTTGCATTAATCGCATGTCAATTTTTTGCACGCCATTACATATAGGTTAGCTTTCATTTAAATAAATCAAAAAAATCAAAAAAAGAAAATTTCTGCACCTTTGAACTCTAAGTCAGGATTTATCAAAATTGTCAAATTAAGTATTTTTCTTGAAATTGGTACCGAAAGGGCGTTAGGGAATCTAGCGTAACCAAGTCCCCGAATCCATAATTTCTGGTTCGCAGAAATAAAATAGTACTCCCGCTATTTTATTTAGGTTTCTAATCAATCTACGTTAAATGATTAGTGGCGACTCCCATTGAAAATATTTGCATGCTCATAATTGGACCTAAGTTGCGAATCGGTAGAGTTTGGGAGAACTCGAGCTAGGTTAGTTAATTTAATTGATCTAGTAATCCATTAGCCTCAGATCGGAAAACCCGATTTTTTTTTAGGTCGCGACAGCTTGGCGACTCCACTGGGGATAAACTTGAATTTTTTTTTTTAAATTTTTTTTTTCTGCGAACCAGAAATTATAAATTCGGGGACTTGGTTACGCTAGATTCCTTAACACCCTTTCGGTACCAATTTCAAGAGAAATACTCAATTGGACAATTTTGATAAATCCTGACTTAGAGTTCAAAGGTGCAGAAATTTTCTTTTTTGATTTTTGATTTATTTAAATGAAAGCTAACCTATATGTAATGACGTGCAAAAATTGACATGTGATTAATGCAACCTAACATGCAAACTATATGTCATGCGACGACGTGATCTATTTCTAATGACGGGCATATTATTTTTTTTGTATTTTTTCTTTAATGAAATTCGAAATTAAAAATGCCAATTATCTAAACATGCAATTTTAAACTAAAGAAATTAACCTATTCTAGAGTAATCTTTTTGGCATTTTTTTTTATCAAAATTCGAAATTAAAATCAAGTAAAAAATATAACCGCTAAATCTTTCGAATTAAGTTTCGATCTGAAGCCTGACAGATCGATCCTAAAATTCGAAATACCCGCTATGGAAATAACTCTATCTAAAGCCTGATAGATAGATTTATTTCCACGTGTGCGGTTGCGGATTAGGAAATTTTCCTAATCGATCACATCTTGAAAAAAATTAGATTTCTTAAATATCTTGGATATATTCAAAAGATTTTGAAAATTCTAAATTCTATCCAAATTTGAAACGTAATAGATATCCAAGATTTCAAAAAAAGGAAATAAAATCCTAATTGAAATAATGCTTATTATCCAAATATGCAAAATTAGTTATCAATAAGCACAAATTAGGCAACCAAATATTCGAATCAAATCGGGATATGATAATTACCTGATTTGCAGATTTCTTTCCTAATTTGAATCTGTAGCGGATCGGGATAATGGATCGGCGGTGCGTCAGGAGCAGCGGCGTGACGTCGGGAACAGTGGCGGCTAGCGACGGTGACACGACGGGAACGGCGGCGCGGCGGGCGTCTCCGGGCAGCGGCCAACAGGCGGGGACGAGCGACTCTCCGGCGGTTGTGCAGTGAACAGCGGCAGCACGGCGGTGGGCTAACGGCGGTGCAGGCGGCTCCGGCTGGCGAGCGGCGGTGTAGGGCAGCTCTCCGGCGGCTGTGCAGCGAGCAGCGGCGACACAGACGGGCGGAGCAGGGACGTCCAGGCGGTGGTCGCACCGGCGCGGCAGTGGTGTGCGATGAGGCAGCGGCAGGCAGGCGTGCAGTGGCGGTGGCACACGGTGGGAGAAGGCAGCGCGTGGCAGGAGGCAGCGCAGGCGGGCGGTGGCGCGGCAGGCGTGCGGTGGGCGAGGCGGGCGGCTACGCGTAGTGCGGCGAGCGGTGGCGCGGCGCGTGCGGTGCGCCGCGGCGGGCGGTCTCCTTCTCTCTCTCTCACTCTTCTCAAAATTCTCTCGTATGTCTCTCTAAAAATCCGATCTGAAAAATTATGAGAGCCCCCCCTTGATTATGAGACATAAACATATATTTATAATGTAAACCTAGGTCAATTAGCCGGGCTTTCTAGTCCTAATGGGCTGAGGTTTAGGCTTTAATTTAATTCTAGGTGGGCTGAATTAATTTAGGCTTTTCTTTAATTAAGCATAATGGGCTAATTTAAGCTCAAATTAAGACAACCAAGCCCTTTTATGTGTGATTTTCGGCCCATGCTTTCCGAGTGAGCCGAATCTCGTTCGGTGCCCGAGCTCGATTTACGTGATGAATTTTAAGCTCGCTTATCACCGCCGATCCGATGCGAAATGCAGTTAATCTATATGAACCTAAACTTTATGCTATGCGATTTGTAATATTTTTGTTCAGGGATTAAAATTTAATCCCTAATTTTCTATGCAATTAATCACTAAATGATGCGTCGAAATTTAGGTGTCAACAGCTGCCCCTCTTTGAGTGGAGGCTCGCAGAGGTTTCGTTCAAAGACTAAGACCTAAATTTAAACTATGCAAAATGATGAATGATGATTTTTTTTTAATGCAATGATGCATGATATGCAAACAATAAAGAACGTATGCTAAGGCTTCTCACTTCGTGTAGAGCGGTGAAAGAGCCTTACATACGGATCGCACAAAAAGCGTCCAAGTGAGGGAAAGCTTTATAATGCTTTGACTTTCCTCGATCTCCAAACTTATGGTCCACTGGAAGTAAGGTTCTCGAGGTACTAGATTGCTTATCTGTTACCTGTAGTTTCCTACAGATGCGAAATAGCACATGATATAAAGTAAGAATGGGATGTGTTGCCCATACCACTGGGCAATCACGAAAAGGATCATGTCACCTCTTCCATTGGATGAACATGAAATGGGGTGTACCGCGTACTCCACTTAGCAACACCAAATGAGATATTATGCTGCCTGTACTACTGGGCCAACATGAAATGGGGTGTGCCGCGTACTCCACTTAGCAACACCAAATGAGATATTATGCTGCCTGTCCTACTAGGCGAACATAAAATGGGGTGTGCCGCGTACTCCACTTGGCAACACCAAATGATATGTCACCTGTTCCACTTGGCGAACATATGAAAGAGATCATGTCTCACATTCTGGGAAAAGAGAAACAATGAAGAATAATTAGTAGACGTACCTGATTTCTTCTTGTGTTATAAAAATGGCAAAGCCAATTGCATTGCACCTGTTTTTACCTAAGAAAAGGCTAAAACAAAACATGCGCAGGGGCAGAGAAAACATAATTCATGAATCTGCTTGCATTACCAAGCTTTACTGGGGAATTTATCAATAAGAACAACAATTTCGTCCTTTTAACAATTTGATCACATTAAATGAGAGACCTTTAATCAGAAAGGACTTTCTACTCACTTTTAATGAAAGGCTTTTGACCCGACCTTTGATGCGGGTATAAGAATCACTCAAACTCTCTTCATCGTGCTTGACAAAGGTTCGGATATTCTCAAAATCAGTATGACTTGACCAATCTGAGAGGTCTTTATAAGGACTAAAACGTGGGTTTGGTCAATGGCTTAGCAAAAGGGACTCTTCGAGTCGAGGCTATTGAAAGAATTGATATCACCAGCTGCTCCGGGTTTACAAGTCAGGGAAGCTGCAAAAATGAGATAGAAAAATCTTGCTCGCACTTCTTCAAGCAACATTTATAAGCATTTGAAACTCTACGTTAACTCAAGTGCCCTATTCTGAAGAGACTTCGGTAATAGTTGTAACGTAGGTTCGGGTAGGCTTGAAATGAATGGCTTATTTCATCAAAGGGGGGTATTATGAACATGGAGATTGGTGATCATCCAATTATGCTACTGGTACCATT